CTATAAGGAAATGATCCCCACCAACGTCCATTTACAAAAAAATGCTTATCTTCTCAATAGTTTTTTATATGTTCTGTTTCCTCCTTGAATTATGTCCATTCCACTTTCTCCACAGAATGCTATTCTAATGTAATACAAATTTTTATTATCAGTCCAAAAATTTCTCTGCAAAAAAGGATATGAACTGAGAAAAAAATTTCCTGTGATCATAAGGCTCTAAGTACTAAAATTTTTCTTCTTGCCCAACTTACTGCAATTATTATTAGAAGTAGATAACTGAGGAAAACAGCATAAATATATCACAAATTCTGATAATTATTAAACATAAAAAGTAAAAATCACTTTGAAAACTCTTAATGAGATGGAGTAATTTACAGCACCTTGACTAAAGGGGAGGATTTTTAATACTTTGGAGTAATTTACTATAAGATTAGGAACCTGTGAGAGATGAGCCTTTCTTTAGTGAAGTGAGAAAAGGAAGGATGACAAAGTAGGCACTTTCACAGGTATATACGGAAGATAATTCACTTAAAACTGTCTGTTCCCAAGTAACCCTTGGCAAATTTCTATATGTCACTGTAAGTTAAGTGGGGAGCCGTAAAGTGGGGACACACATACTACTACCCATCCCTGCAACTTCAAAGGAATAAGACCAAATTTCATGTCCGAAATATTAACAGATGGTATTTAATTTGTAAAAACAATTATTAATAGTTATGATTAATGTAAACATTGGGAAATAGTCGAGTTCAAAATCTTTTAAAGTTATAGAGGACAGTCTCCTTTATAATTAAAAATACAAAGTAACAAAGTCATACTGTTATTCTTTGATCTTCAAATATAGAAGTGTGGTATTACTGTATCTATAGCAGTTGTCCACATTAAAATCAAAGTACTATTTTTACACTGATAAGCCTCTATAATTCAGGAGTAATTGAGGTGTTTTGTTTTTACGTAATCCCTAGAAATGAGCTGGGTTAAGAAATTAAAACTATCAGCTAGGAAAATAAAAATGATATCATGATTACTGCTTCCCAATAATCATTTACAACACTAATAAAGTGAAGAAAAGCAAAGGTAAACACCATCAGCAGTTTAAGTCAGGTCCTATTTACCTGCTCTGCTAAGTTCGTTCTTACTTTCTAAAATTTCACCATAACAAAAGTTTATGTTCAGGTTTTCTTAACAAAGAGCTCTGTGCAAAACCACGTGCTTTGTAAAAGATGGCCAGGGATATTTACAGAAATCCATAGTCCTAGTCTGTTTAAGAATTCCAAGTAAACTATCTACAGTAGGACAAACTATTTTTCTTTTATTTGTAAATTAAAGTACCATTGTAATATAGGTTAAAATAGATGCTCCTTAACTTACAATGGGGTTACATCCTCATAAAGCCACTGTAAGTTAAAAATATCATTAAGCCGAAAATACATTTAATACACTTCACCTACCAAACATCATAGCTTAGTCTAGCCTACCTTAAACATGCTCAGAACACTTACACTAGTCTACAGCTGGGCAAAATCACCTAACGCAAAGCCTATTTTATAATAAAGTGTTCAACACCTCATGTAATTTATCGAATACAGCACAAAGTCTCAGTTGTTTACTCTCCCAATCATGAGATCACAAGAGTAAACTTCCTGCTGCTGCCCAGCATCACGAGAGAGTATCTTACCCAATATATCCTTAGCCCTGGAAAAGATCAAAATCAAAAAATCAAAGTATGGTTTTTACTGAATACTTATCACTTTCACACCATTGTAAAGTTGAAAGTCATTAAGTTGAACCATCATAAAGTGGGACCATCTGTATAGGTTTTGCAAAGGGGCTCACCGGTTAACAGGTCTTTTCTGTTCATGTTCTATATGAATCGATGGTAGCCAGGACAATACCAACATATATAAACCTACGAATTTGATTTAAAAGAGTAATAAATTAAACCGTATGTGCAAACCTATAGGCATAATGCAAATTACTCTGGATGTCTGGGGTGTGATTATGTCCCCAACTGCCTGGATTGAGTTCATATCCTGGGTCTACTCTTCACTGTGTGACCTTGAACAAATATTCAATCTGTACGTACCTGAGTTTTAGCACCTATAACTTTGCCATACAATATTATAGCTATTAACCACATTGAGTTTTAAATTTAAATTAATTAAAATTAAGTAACATTTAAAAATTCAGTTCCTCAGTTGCACTGGCCACATTTCAGGGGCTCAGTAGCCCCATGTGGCTAGAGGCTACCATACTGGACAGTATATAGATATAAAAATGAGCAGGATGATATGGTTGAGAACAAGTGGGTACAAGGGGGTCAGACTGACTGCTTTAGATTAGGCTACCTCGAGGAGTTGACATTAGAGCTGAGACTTGTATGACAAGATGCAACTAGCATGCAAAGATCTGCAAAGAGCACCCAAGGCACAGACAAAAACAATAGCAAAGGTCTCAGCCACAGATGTCTTGGCTGCTTTAACAATAAAAAGAGTGCCTGAAGCATAAGAAATAAGGGGAGAGGAGTATGAGGTCCAGGAAGTGGCAAGAGGCAGGGCCTCAAGGACCTTATAAGCCATGTAAGAACTTTGGATTTTACGTTAAGTGCAATAAAAAACCATAGAGGGTTAGAAAGAGGGGTCTGTTGTAATCTAAATTATGTCTTAAAAACTCACTCTGACTGCTGTTGTGAACTAATTACTATAAGAAACCAAGAGTGGAAGCAGAAACAGCTGTTAGAAGAAGACAGGTGCCATGGCCCAGGTTGAGAGAAGATGGTGGCCTGGACCATGGCAGTGGCAGACGGATACAGAAAATGTGCTCCTTTCCTCTATGTCCACTGTCAACGATACTGTACCTACTATCCTTCACAACCAAGCTCCTTAACATCCAGCAAATATGCTTTGTGCCTCCAACATTCCACTGAAACTGTCCTAAGGTCCCAATCACCTCCGCCTTCCCAAAACCGGCGAGCACTTTTCTATCCTTGTCTTACCTGACTTCAGCTGCATTTGCAAAACTGCTGACCACACCTTACCTCCATCATATTCTCTCCTTCCTCAGCTCCTGGGGCATCGCTCTGGTTTTTCACTGTTACTCTTTCTCCGTCTTCTTACCAGTAACCTCTGCTTGACTCTTCAACTTCAGTACTCAGTGCATTTCAAAACATATAAAATACTTGAGACTGAATTGACACTTTTTCTGGTAACTCCCAAATAACATCTCTGGCCCAGGACTCCCTACTGTTTTAGATCTCTATATATAGTATTCAACTGGACTTCCTCGCTTGGACATACCATAAACACTTAAAATGCAAAAGGTTCAAAATGTGTCTCCTTCATTCTCTCTTACCATATACTCTTGCTCAAGCCAAAGCCAAAGGCTTCCTAACTCCCTCTCACTAGCAATAACTCCCACAACCAGACCTTCACAAGGTCCTGCAGATTCTACCTCCTTATTATCTTTCTAATCAAGCCCTTCCTCTCAAATCCTGCTAAGGCTTTTATTAGTTGAAGATCCCATCACTTCTTGTTTGTATTGTTGAAACAGCCTCCCAACCAATTTCCCTGCTTCTGATCTCTCCTCCACACTGCTGCCAGAACACATTACAGGTATTCAACCAATTTTGCTGGTTACATTAAGTACAAATCGGGCCACATCATTTCTCTGCTTAAAGTCTTTCAGAGAAAACACCTGACAACTTCCACAAGGCTTCTCATGATCTAGCTCCTTATTACTATTACAGCCTCATCTCCCTGACACTTCCCCTCACATCCTCCTCTCCGTTCAGCTGTTCTTAGTTCTCCAAATACTATGCCACTTCAGGCCTCCCTTCCTCCGCACCTGACATTACTTCTCCCTTATTCCTCCAACTACTACTTCAAAGTTCAGGCTTAAGTATCACCACTTCAAGAAAGTGCCTCACATATATCTCAATCACACTGAATGGTAGGTACTGTTTGTCTGTCTCCCAGTAAATCATAAGCTCCTAATGGCACGGCCCACCAACCTCATTTGGTTTGTAGCACCAATGACTGGCACAGAGTAAATATTCTTTCATAGATGGTTTTGGTATCTTCTAAATTTTAAAAAGGGAGAGGAGCTTATTTAGTGGGCCTTATTATCGCCATTCCAGTATGGCATAAAGTGACAGCACTGTACTACAAAGCCAAATGTGCTTCATATTGAAAATGCAAAAAACCCCACAGGCCCCAATAAACACAAAGCACAGCCTTTCAAAAGGAGAAACGTATGTAGTACCTAATAAACCAGGCCTGGGATTTTCTACTACGTGGGGAAGGGCTTATTTAACACTGTTTAATGATAATAATAGGTGGAGGGCTTCTCATCTCAATAACTCAAAATAACTTTTCTTGGCTATGTCACTGTAATATTAGTTCCTAATGTTGATTCTCGCTCACTTCCTGACAGGTCATTCTCCTTATGTGAGAGACTCTTACTCACCACCTTAAGCGTCACTCACTTGTCAATCAGCCATTTGTTCTCTAAATCTGAAGAGGGGACAGGGGATGGAAGAGAGTGTGGGGGATGATAAACACTTTCAGAAGGGGAGGTGCGGGCAATGGAAGAGAGTGGGCGTCGGGGTTAATACCAGGACAGAGTGCTGACATGTGGGAAGGAACAGGGAGGATGCGATCACGGAGCACGCAATAAGAACCACGGGACCCGGGGCTGAAGAGAGGTGGGGATAGGGAAGATATTGGGAAAGAAAGCTGGGGCACGGGAGCCGCGAAGAAGCAGCAAAACGCAGTTTTTGGCCAGAGGGGCTTAGGAGAAAAGCTGGCTCGAAGAGAAGAGACAACACCAACCGAGCTTTATGACAAGCCGGGCGGGGGTAGTCCCAGTGCGAAGAGGGGAGGCGAGAGCAGAACCAGGGGCCCAAAGGGCAGAGGCAGGCGGCTCGGAGCCGGTAGGAGACCCGAAGCCGCCAGAGGCCGCGGACCGCCGGGGAAGGGAATTGCGAGGCGAGGGGCACTTACCGGGGTCCCTCCGCACGGCGCCGCTGGGGATCTCCTCCCGCAGGTGAGGGAAGAGGAAGTCCCGGGCGGCCTGGAGGTCCTGGAAGTAGCAGAACTGGACAATGGAGCAGGCCATGGCTCCAGGGAAACCCACTCCGGCACTCACCTTAACCCACCACGCCCTGCCCCCTCCACCCCACCGCGGCCACAGACGAGCCCCAACAGCTTTAGCCTCGCAGGAGGCGGGGAAACCGAACCGGAAGTTGTCAGCGCACTCGGGAGGTTGTCGGAGCACTGCGCAAGCGCGGGCCGGCCAGGCGCCCGGGAAAAATGAGGCCCGAGTCACATGACCAGCGGCGTGGCTGCGGGAGGCTGCTACGTCTACGTGGAGGCTTGGGACAGATGTTCAGACCCAGTTCTTCGTCTACGCGGAGAGCGAACGCTTTCATTCATTCTGGCTTTTAGCCAGAGATATTCTAATTGGACTTTGTCCTTGCGAGCCATTGAGTCATTCAACTAATCTTATTGATATCCTTCTATTGGCACGGTCCTGATATTTCACAGAGAATAATCCGTCTTAAACTAGTGACAGGCCAGTGAGGGACGGTATCATGCAACTATCGGCTTTTGACAGGATTAAGTGCTATTTCAGAAATCAGCGCCGTCAAGGCTGGCTTTAAATGCTCCCCCTATAAATTCCCAGAGTACCTTGCAAGCCCAATATAGTACGGGTTGTACTGTATTATACATTTTCATCACCCATTTGGTTTTTCATTCGTTTGTTCATTCAAATATTTGTTAGTCTTTTCTGTGGCAGCCACTCAGGGCACTGAGTATCAGAGACCAAAAGAGAAGAAATATCTGTTCCCATAAAGAAAATTCTAGTGCTTGATACAGGCAGTGGACAATTAATTACAGTAGTCCCCATTTATCCTAGGGGATCCTTCCAAGCCCCCCCAGTGGATGCCCGAAACAATGGGGTAGTACCAGCCTTGTATATGTGTACTGTTTTTGCCTGTACATACCTATGATAAAGTTTGATTTATAAATTAGGCACAGTAAGAGATTAATAATAACTAATAATAAAATTGTATACTGTAATAAAAGTTACATGAATGTGGTTGCGCTGTCTCAAAATATCTTATTGTACTTTACAGCAGGTAACTGAAACTGCACAAAATGAACCTGAGAACAAGGGGGGGACTACTGTACTCAATTATTTAACTGAAATTGTGATAATGCTAGAAAGGAAAGTAGTACAAAGTGCTATGACAAAACATAATGGGGGAAATGACCTAGTTGTTTTTTTGTTTTGTTTTTTGGCAGGAGGAGAGGAGGGGAGCACAAGGATAGGGCCTGGCCCATAATAACTGTTTAATAAATATTTGCTGAAGAAATAAATGGAATAGAATGTGTACAGAAAGTAAATGGAATAACTTGTTTCTTTTACAAAACACTTTCTAATATTGGAAGTACTTTTCCACACATTATCCAATTGGATAGTCACAAATGCCATACTAAAAGAATGTGTCATGGCCAACAGGTGGCTCACACCTGTAATCTTAGCACTCCGGGAGGCTGAGGCAGGAGGATCACCTGAAGTCAGGAGTTCCAGACTAGCCTGAGCAAGAGTGAGACCCCCGTTTCTACTAAAAATAGAAAAAAGTTAGCTGGGCGCAGTGGCCTATGCTTGTAGTCCCAGCTACTCGGGAGGCTGAGGTAGGAGAATCGCTTGAGCCTAGGAGTTTGAGGTTACAGTGAGCTATGATGATGCCACTACACTCTAGCCTGGGCAACAAAGCAAGACTCCGCGTGTTAAAAAAAAAAAAAAAAGTGTGTCTTATCCCAATTTTTTTAATGAAGTAATTGATTAAAGTATCACTGAGAAGACTCTTGAAGTCCATTTAAGTTATTTTACTACAAAGTAAAAACCAAAAAGGAATTATTTTAATGTTAGCATAAACTGTAGGCACTCACCCACTTCCCAAAGGAAACTTAAAGAGGTCACTCACTTTGTATGAAAATGGAGCAGGAATAAACGGAAGGCAAGGAGATGGGGTCCAAAGCATTCGTTCTTCTAGGCCTGTGTACACACTTAGTCCTCATCATACAACAACTAAAATCAAGTGCTCAAGTTCCTACTCAATTCCTGTTTCTAGGGTAGAATGATTTTCACTAAATACGATAGACAATTTGTATGTTATCAGGGTAGCAGGCATCAGTTTTTCACCTATAAAATGCAGGGTGGGATCAGATGTGCTGTAAGGTTCCTTTAAGCATCAAGGACTTATAATTCTAAAATCAAAGCTTGCAGGAAAGGCAAGCTGCCAGTGCCCCCTTCTATCTGAAAAATTGCAATGTTTCCTCAGATCATCACTCAGAAGAATAAACCAGTCTTAATAAGATTATTCCCTAAAACCCAGCACCAATATCAAACTAAAATAAAATTTAAAGCTAGATTCTTAGCTTTACTGGATGAATAAAGAACACATGACACTTTCTGGAAGGATACAGTGTCCTTCATTGAAAACCATTCAAGTTCCTATTCAGGTGAATGCATTTTGTGGAAGTAACTGCCCTTGGCTCATTCAGTTGGCCTTTGTTCTACCCTGAGGCATTTATGTATCTCCCATGTGGTGGTCATTGAATTTCATTACTGTGTTAACTCAGTTTTAATAGTAAAGTCCCTGAGTTCCTTCCAAGTAGTGTTGAAAAGATTCATTCATGAATGTTTTTAAGGATTTTAGATTCCCTTCACAGAAATTGCAGCACAATCATGAACTGAACTCTTCCCTCGGGAAGCTGTAAAGCTGCAGGGGGATGCCTCTGCAGTCCTGCTGCCATGGTTTCTGTGGAGTGTGGGAGGATTGCCTCAGACAGCAAATATCAGTAACCACACAGTCATCAGAAAGCGCATTGCGGAAGTGTGCAGGCCTGACGTATCCCAGCATAGAGAATGTCTCCTTGAGGTATGAGTTCAGGAGCTAGGAAAAGCACTGCGACCAAAACAACAACAGGAGGGGTCCAGGCACTAATGTGAACTTACCCGTTACTGTGAGTCATAGCACTGATGACAATTGTTAAGAGATGCTTACTGAGGATGATTAGCAGCAGATCCTTGCCAATCCTTAACAACAGCTTGAAGCTGAAGGGGTTGAGATGCAGGATGGGCAGCAGGTGTGAGAGAAAGAGCAGTGGACTCTGGGTAGATGCCCAGTATTCTGAAATTAAAAAAAAAAAAAAGAAGAAGAAAAAAAGAGCAGTGGGCTCAAGTCAGGAAATCTCGGTCTGTTTCAACTCTGTCACCAATTGGTCTTGTGACCTCATGACCTTGGGCAATTCCTGTCACCTTTCTGGGCCTTAATTTCTTGATCTTTAAAATGAAGAGGCTGGGCGCTAAGGTTCACCCTAGGGAAATGTAGGTTTGGGTAAGAGCCTGGGAAGGGAAAGTTCTGGGAGCTGGAATTGCTCAAAAGGAGTGGTCTGTGTAGGTACCGCAGGAAGACGCGTGGGTTAGCAGGAGAGGACATGGCGCCCTGGGCATCTCTGAGTGAAAGGAAGGGGAGCAGAGGAAGGGGATGGAGAGTCCCTGAAGCCTTACCTCAGAGCTTTGCTGTAGGGCATCCCTGAATTGAAGACCATGTGAACAGAAGCAAGGCATATCTACAGCTAGTTTTTATTCAAAGAACCTCTATGGAGGGCTTATGACACTACTGGTGCCTTGGGAAGCAAAGTGAGGCAATCACGACAAGCTCTCCAGAGACTCACAACCTAAAAGCAGACAAATACACACAACTCTAAGAACAGAGTGTGATGAGTACCATGGGTGGCTTTGGGAGGAATAGGGAGAGTAATTCTGATCACTAGGCTTGTTCCGTGGAAAAGGGATAGTGGGGAAGAGGTAGGAAAGGCAATAAACAGATTGATTCTCAATTATAGAGAAACTGAAAGTCCAAATAGTATAATCTGATTTTTTTCTCTATGCAAAGGGTAGCCAACTGAAGATTTTTGAAGAAGAGGTAGCAGTTATTTTGGGAGAACTGAAGGCAGAGAGACCCCTCAAGATGTCATGGCATTATTTTAACCGAGAAGAAAGGCAGTGCCGCTCTGGAAGCCGAATCAATGGAGTGGGTACAAGTTAGATCTAGGTGTAGGAAGAGGAGATAAGACCCTCGATGATATTCAAGTGTTCAGTCTACAGAACTGGAGAGGTGGCAATGTCATGTCAGCAGCCAAGATAAAGAATGCAAAAGGAGGACTAGATTTGAAGCAAATAGGAATAGGACAAACTCAATGCTGTATTTGTTAAATGTGAAGTGCCCACAGAGGAGTTAGGTTAAGAAAAGTTGTTTTTTACAAACAGAAGTTAGAAACAGGGGATTAGAGAGATCAAAGCTAGACCCTACCTATGGAAGTTATGTACGCAGAGGTTATATTAAAGGGAGGGGATGAAAATGTCAGTGGACTCCAGATTGGATGAGAGCAGGATTTGGCTAGGGAAACAAGCTGAGTACTAACTACTTTTTTAGGAGTGTGTGATATTATGATTATATATATATAGGTTTTCATCCACTGTTCCTGGCTCATAACTCCCATAACCTGGTTACAGTCTTTTGTTTTAAAGTTGGGGCACCTTAAGCCTCAGAAGCAGGCCATAGGAAACAGAATCTCTCTCTCTCTCTCTCACCTTCTCTTGTTTTCCTTTCACCTGCAAAGAGAGAGCAAAAAAAATCTGGACAGACAGGTCTTGCTGGGTTTGGATTATACCCTTTTTGTCCACATAGTGACACAGTTGGCCATGCTTCAATCATGGAAAACCTATTAAGTCTCCATAAAAGGCCCAGTGGATAGAGTTTGGGGAGCTTCTGGAGAGCTGAACACATGGAGGCTGACAGGAAGGTGAAGAAGAACTCATCTATGTGCCAAGAGAACTACACGGGGACAGAAGCTCCTGCGCTTGGGCCTGTCCAGACCTTGCCCAATTTATCTCCTCATCTGGTTGTTTATTTGTATCCTTTAAGATATCCTTTGTAATAAACCGGTAAATGTAAGTAAGTGTTTCCCTGAGTTCTATGACCCACTCCGGCAAATTAACAAAATCCAAAGAGGAGGTTGTGGGAACCCCAATCTGAAGCAGGTTGGTGAGAAGCTCCGGAGGCCTGGACTTGTCACTGGTATCTGAAGAGGGGGCAGTTTAGGGGACTGAGCCCTCACCCCGTGAGATCTGATGCCCTGTCCAGGTAGACAGTGTCAGACTTGAATT